ATATGTATTATGTTTGGTGAAAATCGGTTCAGATTTAGATATAGCTCCCATATAAAACTTGCCCATTCCTATGGGAGAATATGGATTTTTCACTAATTGGGTTTTTAATAAAAAATCGACCCTAACTGTAAAATTTTATGCAACTGTATATTAAAAAAAGAAATCTATAATCTACACAGTTAAATTAGACAAAATATTTTTTTTTTGTGTTTGCATACATATTTTCAATAGATAATATATAAACTTTGGATGTATTATTTGCAGAAACTCGATTTACCTTTATAGTATGTGGAATATGCCATTATAAATTGTCTGTAAGTAGGCTGCTTATGATCTGAGTTAAATGCTACAGACATATGGAAAAAAACTGGACATTGGAACTATCTCAAAGCAACCAAATCAAATTACAGTTACTTCGGTTGAAACCAGTAAGGAAAGTAGTAAAGTCGGACGGGGCCGACTATATGATACCCTTCACCACTATGGGTATATTAAACAGGACTATAACATAAAATTGGATGAAAAAAATGTGATATTTATCTAAATGTGAATCTACCTAGATCTATCCATAAAGTATGTAAATCGACTTCAAACAAATATAAATAGGTCATCCGTTGGGCTATGTCTGCACTTCTAGAAAACGCAACTACGTAATTCTATGCTCAATTTTGTAAGTTGTGCAAAATTTGATGTCAATCTGACTAACATGAGGAGTTTGATGCCCAATTTACTTGAAATCGGGCGAAAATATATATGGAAGCTCTATCCAAATATTGAGCGATTTCAAACAAACTTGTCACAGGTTAGGTTATACTAATTTCAGAAAGTTGTGTTCCTATTGGTTCCTTAGTACGTCAATTACTTAAAATCAATCTATAATAAAAGGGAGCTATATCTAACTCTGGACCGATTTTCACGAAACTTGGCAGACATCATTCTAGGCTCAATTAAGTACGTTATGCCAAATTTCGTGCAAATCGAAGGATATATAGGGACTTTGGTGCACCATTTACATGAAATCGGACGAAACTATATATGGGAGCTATATCTAAATCTGGACCGATTTTCTCCAAACTTGGCAGACATCACTCTAGACCTAAATGATTAGGCTGTACCAAATTTCGTGCAAATCGAAAGATATATAGGGACTTTGGGGCACCATTTACATCAAATCGGACGAAACTATATATGGGAGCTGTATCTAAATCTTGAACTATTTTCACGAAATTTGGCAGACATCATTCTAGACTCAATTCAGTACGTTATGCCAAAATTCGTGCAAATCGAAAGATATTTAGCGACTTTGGTGGACCATTTACATCAAATCGGACGAAACTATATATGGGAGCTCTATCTAAATCTGGACCGATTTTCTCGAAACTTGGCAGACATCACTCTAGGCTTAATTCAGTACGTTATGCCAAATTTCGTGCAAATCGAAAGATATATAGGGACTTTGGGCACCATTTACATGAAATCGGACGAAACTATATATGGGAGCTATATCTAAATCTGGACCGATTTTCACGAAACTTGGCAGACATCATTCTAGGCTTAGTTTAGTACGTTATTCTATATTTCGTGCAAATCGACATATATATGGTCTTTGGTTCGCCATTTACCTTAAATCGGGCGAAAATATATATGGGAGCTATATCTAAATCTGAGCCTATTTTTCCCAATTACAATAGGGTTCATCCTTGGGCCAAACAAATGAGCTGTGCCAAATTTAGGCATAGGTTTAGGCATAGCTCCCATATAACAGTACCTCCCAGTTTTCGTTATTTTGGGATTCTTGAGCGCGTTTTTCAACCGAATACGCTGAAATTTGGTACATTGAGTTCTTATTGGGTACTAATGTCTCTCCGAAATATTACATATATATATAGGTCCACTTTTTCTGGCGGCCCCATATAACGGTACCTCTGAATTTTCAGTATTTTGGGTGTTTTGATCTATTTCTCCACCGAATTAGCTGTAATTTAGTATTTTGAGTTCTTAATAGGTACCAAATTTCCTCACAAAAAATTTTGAACATAGGTCCATTTTTCCGTATAGCCGCCATATAAGGGTACCCCCAATTTTCGGTATTTTGGGGTTCTTGAGCGCGTTCTTCAACCCAATTCGCTGCAATGTGGTATTTTGTAGTCGTATATGGTAATAAATCTCCCTACTAAAAACTAAATTAAATTCGCCCACGTTTTTGGGGTCTTCCCCAAATAACCCCCAATTTTATACCCTCCACCATAGTATGGAGGATATATTAATTTTATAATATTAATTTTATCATTAATTATATCATTCATAGAGTATATATATTCTTGATCAGGGTAAAATTCTAAGACGATATAGCCATGTTCGTCCGTCTGTTGTAATCACGCTATTTTCTGAAGGAATTGAGATAGGATGCTGAAATTTTGCATAATGTTGACTTTTGTCTGCAGGCAGGTCAAGTTCGAAGATGGGATCTATCGATCCACGTTTAGGCATAGCTCCCATATAAGGGCACCCCCCAATTTTCGGATTTTGTGGTTCTTGGACACCTTTTTCAACCAAATTTGCTACAATGGGTTCTTATTGGGTCCCAAATTTCTCCCCAAAAAATTATAAATATAGGTCCACCTTTTTTTGGTAGCCCCCCATCTTTGCAGTATTTTGGGGGTTTTATCATATTTTTCCTCCCAATTGGCTGAAATTTGCTACAATGAGTTCTTATTGCTTTCCAAATTTCTCCACCAAAAATTATGCATATAGGCATATTCTTTCGGATAGCCCCCATACAAGGGTACCCCCCAATTTTCGGTATTTTTGGATTCTTTGGAATTTGGAATTTTGAGGTCGTATATGGTAGCAAATCTCCCTACCAAAATAATCGCCCTCTTTTTGGGGTATATCCCATACAAATCCCCCCCTTTATACCCTACACAACTGTCTTGTCAGGGTATTATAGCTTTGTGCAGCCCAAAGTGTTTGTAACGCCGCTAAATATTGGTCCTAAACCCACCTTTAAGTATACCGACAGTCATACCTCGACTTGCTGAGTCGATGAAGACATGTGTGTCCGTCCGTCCGTCTGTCCATTATAATTTGTAAACACGATACAGGCCACACTTATGGACCAATCTTCGCGAAATTTTGCATATGGGATGGGTTCTGGTTAATATTTAGGGGATGAAATGGACCAAATACTTAATTTTTGTCGGTTTTTCTGGTCGCTACAGAGGCCGCAGTTATGGTATGAACATCGTGAAATGGAAAAGGTAATCGGGCCAAAGAATAAGCATGCCTGTTTATATAAAGATCGGTCAATATTTAGCGGGTTAAATGGACCCTGACTTTTGTGTGAAAAATTACAAATTTTTTATTCTGGGGCGTATATATATATAGTATATCCAAGAGGAGTTATTGACCTTGAAATTTATACCAATTATATGGCCGTATCTACTCTGATGTGGGAGTTATACGTAATTAGATAAAGGTGACTATGTGCATAGTATTACTATAACTCCATTAGAGGACGGAAATGTCACGCTGATCGCTTTGAAATTATACATGAAATTCCGATTATGGTCAAGGACGACGCCTATAGGTGAAGTTGAGATTTCATTCGATGGGTGTAATGAAACGAAAACTTTAATTTTGTCAATTTTTTTTCAAATTCTCTAGAGGCAATTATTATATGCAGAACATCACATATTTTTCAAGGTGAAGGGGATCTGACCAAATACTTAGAGCGGCTGTTTAGATGATGATCGGTCAATATTCCGAGGGTCAAATCAACAAAAACCTAAAGTGACCAATTTATTATTTTATGGCGTAATAATTCACTTGAAGAAAAAAAATTGGAAAATATGTCAGGTTTAGAAAGTGGAGTTGTTGATCTATAATCGGTTGTTGATCTATAATCTATAATCGGTATCACGAAATATTACCCAGGCTCAGAATATAGAACCGCAGAAAGTTTGCTTTTCGTGGTAGTTGTGTAGGGTATCATATGGTCGGCCCGTCCGACTACACTGCTCCGCTCACTGGTTTATATTAAAATAGTTATCAGATATTTTCCGCGTTTTGGGCTTATCCCCATGTTTTCGCATTCCACCATAGTAGTGTATATATTCTGTACTCGAAATATGGAATTTTATGACGATTTAGCCATCTGTTTTAATCATTCTACCTTCGGGAGATATTGAGGTAAAAAACTAGAACGGCCAGGTTCGAGAATGATATATAATATATCGGTCCCCAGTTGTGCCTATCCACCATATTGTGATACCTACCCATTTTCGGTATTTTTAATATTTAGCGTGAAGGAAGGTATTATGATGCCAAAATGTTTGGCTAGCAATAGAGCTATCTATATAAGTCCTTAATTTTGCATAGTACCTCAAATAACTACAACTCCAACTGTAAGGTATTCCCTACACGATGTAATAGCCTCCAGAAACCTACACATAGAAATATTTTTTCGGCAATGACAATGTTCATATTAAACCAGCAGCTTCCACCCCAGCCTGAAATAAAATCATATGTACGTCGGTGAGGCCTCATATCGACAAAATTGGTCCACATTTTGGGGTTTTGCGATTTTAGGACAAATCTCCATTAAAAATTGCTGAAATTTGTATTTGGTATACATTATGGTTTACAACAATATTTGTTGGTATAGGTATACGTGTTGGTATGTTCCCCATATTTTCATTTCAAGTAACTATTAGTATATCTATGGTGGAGGGTATCCAAACTTCGGCCCGGCCGAACTTAACGCCTTTTTCACTTGTTTATTTTTGAAAAAAGTTATGCGGCATTTATTAAACTTGCAATTTTAGTTGCTTTGGTTTTGGCCACCATTAAACATTTAATTTCCTCCGATTAAATGGAGCATTAATGACTCTAAGGCTGTCCGATTGACATGATCTTACACACATATATAATTTTTTGTTTTTTTTTTTTTTTTTTTTGTAGTTTGTTTTCCAATTGCTTTTATTGTAAAGCACATGGGTCTATAAACTAGTTTCTTCTACGCTTTCAGCATATGTCGAACTATCATCCGAAGTATCACTAAGGCTAGTATCCGATTCTGGTGCCATATTTACAACCCATGAGATAATTTCATCTGCATTTCGTTCAATTACTTGGCGCTTTTCACATTCAATAATGTATTCACGTAACAGAAAGTTTTCATGTTTAATGCGTTTCACCAGTTTGGCAGAGACATCTGGTATGGCCCAGGCAATTATGGTTTGAAGACCACCAATGACATTCTGAAACAAAATACAAGAACCAATAAATTAGGTAATAAAACTAAAAGGCCTATTTTGACTCAACTCACCTGAAAAATAACAATAAATGCCAAACGGGCCATTAATATTTTCCAATAAACAATTGGTCGTTTATATGGAAATTCACCACCCGGAGGATTCCGAAACTCTATATACCGACACAGTGTAACGTTGCCATATTTCGAATAACCAAAATTAGGCGGTTGCGGAAAATCACTGGTATTAAAATAGGCCAATGTGAAATTAAGATAACCCTGCAGTTCATCATCGTGTGTGGCATATTTATAAACAATTTTCGGTATAAGATTAGTGGAGAATGCAATAATCATGGCACAGGTGGCAACAGCTAACCGTGTTATCACCGTCATAATACCAAACCATACACCAATATTACTGGCTCTCTGGGCAACTGGTCGTCGAATAAATTTTAACATTTTCACAGCATCGGTACGTACTTCGATAGCATTGTTAATCAATGCCAAAAGCGGAGCCAATGGGAATGCCACACCGAAGAGTGTAATGAAGCCAAATTGCATTACTGAAAAGAGAAAAAAAATATTTCTTTTTTAAAATCCACGCCACGGAGCTCGGCTGGGTCGAATTATTTATAACATCCACCTAAAATACCTAGCATAGATCGCGACTCTAATATAAAGGCTGTCAAAACATGGTTCTTTATTGAAATTCTGGTCTGGTTGGAAAGTTAGGCTTAAACCTTCAACAAATGGAGGCCCAAAAACGGACCTACATGGAGAATATTCTTCGAAGAAGTTTTATACCCACTTAGACGTCGGAAAGCTAGATTACAGCTTTCTGTAAGAAAATAGGTTTTAGATAGATAATGGATTTTGGACAACCACACATGAATTGGTAAATGGGCTCTTGTAAGGGCCTATATCCAAAAAAATAACTTGTATTGAAAATTGTGTGTAAATACATTTTTAACCTCCAAGAACCTGGTATGACAAGTTATAGCCACATTAGTGCAAAAATGAAATAAAATCATTCCAAATACCGAAAATGGTAACGTAGGAGATGATCGAAACCAAGCAACGGCTCTGATTGACTTTAACATGGCAAAGCCCATGTTTATTTTGGTCACTATTTCATCTCAATCATAGTACCAGGGGTAGCTTCTCTCATCATCCGCGATTTCACCCATAAGAGCTAATGGGTTGAGGCGTCGGGTTAGTTACCCACACTGCGACAGCCACTGATACAGTGTCTTAGACGTTCGGTCGATCCAAGGAGCGAATATCGATTCGGGTCACTACCTTGTAGCAGTCAAGGTTCACACTCGTTTCTTAGACGTCCGATCGATCCGAGGAGCGAATATCGATTCGAACCACTACCTTGTAGCAGTCAAGGTTCTCATTCGTCTTAATGTAGCAGCAATGGTGGGATCTAACACAACACGGACGTCGAAAAGCTGCAAACACATCAACTAGTAGACGCCTACTCCGCTCAACTTACCCACCTGCTTGACGAAAGCACTCCTTATCCCTATAATAATATTTCCCACTGATATTTGCCACAAACTGCAGCAAAATCAGCACATGGGTACCAACTACCACCATTAAGAAACCTGGTACGATCAGGAGTTTCGTGATGCTACTTATGTGAAAAAACCTGCGCATAGGGCCACACTGCAGGCATTAGCAACACATACTGTGAGAGAGAATTATCGGGAGGAAAGGAGAGAGAAGGAAGGTATTTTCAGAAAAAAGAAAGAAAAACGTGTGCGGAAGCAAATCGAGATATTCAGAAGTCAGAACGAAGACAGGAAATTTTTACCAACGAGTAAAACACCAAACCGACTACTTTGATGTGGGCACTTTACCATATAAAGAAGGAAACCTGGTGACAGATACAGACAGCGTGTTGAGGATCTGGAAGGATCATTTTGCAAAGCTTCTTGTATCAAATAGTAACAGTTAGGAAGATACCCCAGAAACAATTAGAGATGACGATGTTGATTGTATACCACCCAGGCACGATGAGATCAGAATAGCAATTAGTCGGTTAGGAAGATACCCCAGAACCAATTAGAGATGAGCCACAATGAGATCAGAATAACAATTAGTCGGCTAAAGAAAAATAAAGCAGAAGGTACTGATGGATTACCAGCTGAACTATTCAAGACCGGTGGTCAGATGCTGGGCATGCACCAACTGATTAGTAAAATTTGGCTAGAGAAATGCATGTTCAATGATTGGAACCTCAGCATCATTGTGTGCACAAAAAAGGGGACAAGATGATATTTGTTAAGCATAGAGGAGTTAATCTCCTTCCCATCGCATATATAATTCTATCCAGCGTGCTGTGTGAATGACTGAATCTATTGGTCAACGGCATTATTGGACCATACCAATGCGGCTTCATATCTGGCAAATCCACCATTGACCACACGAACGAGGACAAGTTCCACATATTCGTCGACTATAAAGCTGCGTACGACAGCCATATCCGTTCCGAGGTATTTAAAGACATGTCTCTCATCGGTATTCCTGCAAAATTAATACGACTATGCAGGATAACTTTAAGTGGCACAAGGTCAGCAGTTAATACAAGATGCAAATGTAAACCGAAATTGCACTCTACACCAAACAGCATATGTTACTCGCCTACGCCGACGACATCGACATAATGGGTCCAAGATTGCAAGCGGTAACAGCCATCTTTGAACAAATTGTGAAGGAGTCGGCCAAAGTGGGACTGACAGCAAATGGCGAGAAATCCAAGGTAATGGTATCAACGCACAAGAAGACCAGTAGACTCGGACTAACGGTGGAACTTGAAAACTTACGCCTATATTCATCGGTACTGCCGTAAATAAAACTAATGACTTCAGTTTTGAATGATGACTTCGGAGAAGGATAGTGTTGGCCAACAGATGCTGCTATGGTCAGAGTAAGCAATTCCAAAAGAAGGTCACCTCTCGCCATACCAAACTATGCTCTACAAGACGCTGATACTATCCGTGCTGTTGTATGGACCTAAAGCATGATTACTTTCGCAGCGAGAAATCCAAGGTGATGGTATGAACGCACAAGAAGTCCAGCAGACTCGGACTAACGGTGGAACTTAAAAACATACGCTTATATACATCAGTACCGCCATAAATAAAACTAATGACTTCTGTTTTGAATGATGACTTCGGAGAAGGATAGTGTTGGCCAACAGGTGCTACTTTGGTCAGAGTAACCAATTCCAAAAGAAGGCAACCTCTCGCCAGACCAAACTACAAACTACCTCTCTCCAGACCAAACTACACTCTACAAGACGCTGATACTATCCGTACTGTTGTATGGACCTAAACCATGAGTACTTTCGCAAGCAGGTGAAAGAAAAATTATCCAAAAGATCTACGGGCCGCTCTGCGTCGACGGTGATTATTGCCGTCGAAAGAACCATGAGTCAGAAATATCGAGCTGCAGCTACTACGCTGGCTAGGTCATGTTATGAGAATGGATGAGGATGCCTCAGCTCAAAAGGCATATAAAAGCGAGCCAATTGATGGTTCACGAATTCGCTTCGATGGTCTTTCAAATTGGAAATATTTTACAAAGTTGGATTATGAAACAAATGTTTCTATCACAAACCAGCTTAGTAAGTTAGTAATGCCGAAAATGAAGCGGAATTGATCTGCAATGTCAAAATATGGACATATGCCAAAAATAGAGCGGAATAGTAGAATGGGGGCAATACCAAAACATAGACCTGTATCGAGCATATTCTGCAAAAATTATATTCGCCCTACATTACAAATTAGTTTAAAAAATGTTATTTTAAAAGAAATCTAGTCCTGTGAAAAAATATTTCTTAAAAAATCTACGCTCTTGTTGTGATTTAGAAAATATTACTTTAAAAATCTACGCTCTGCTAATCCTTTTGAAAATATTATTTTAAACCAGTAAGGAAAGAAGTAAAGTCGGACTGGGCCGACTATATAATACCCTTCACCACTTTGGGCATATTATACATATGTATCCTAAAAGACGTCGCCTTTTCGAAGGAACATTGGAATGAAATTGAACGAACTTAAATATGTGATCTTTATCTATATCTAACCCGACTAACATCAATCCCTACACATGCCATTCTGCATTTACATAAAATGTGACGAAAATATATATGGGTGCTATATCTAAATCTGAACCGATTTTCATGAAACTTTGCAAACATTATTCTAGACTTAATTTAGTACGCTATACCAAAATTCGTGCAAATCAAAAGATTTGCCAGGAATTTTTCGCACCATTTACCTAAAATCGGGTGAAACTACATAAGGGAGCTATATCTAAATATGAACCTATTTTCACGAAACTTGGCACACGTCATTCTAGACTTAGTTCAGTACGCTATTCGTGCAAATCTAATGATTTTCAAGGACCACCATTTACTTAAAATCTAAATTTGAACCGATGTTCACGAAACTTTGCACACGTCATTCTAGACTTAATGTAGTACGCTATGCTAAAATTCGTTCAAATCAAAATATTTGCAGGGACTTAGATGCACCGTTTACTTAAAATCGGGCCAAAATATTTATGTGAGCTATATCTAAATCTGAAACGATTTCTACGAAACTTAGCACACGTCATTCTAGACTTAATTTAGTACGCTATGCCCAAATTAGTGAAAATCTAAAGATTTGCAGGGACTTTGATGCAACATTTACCTAAAATCGGGCGAAACTATATATGAGAGCTACATCGAAATCTGAGCCGATTTGCACGAAACTTAACACACATCATTCTAGACTTAATTCAGTACGCTATACCAAGATTCGCGCAAATCACAAGATTTGCAGGGACTTTGATGGAACATTTACCTAAAATCGGGCAAAACTATATATGGGAGCTATATCTAAATGCGAACCGATTTGCACGAAACTTAACACACACCATTCTAGACTTAATTCAGTACGCTATACCAAGATTCGCGCAAATCAAAAGATTTGCAAGGACTTTGACGGAACATTTACCTAAAATCGGGCAAAACTATATATGGGAGCTATATCTAAATCCGAACCGATTTGCACGAAACTTATCACACGTCATATTACACTTAATTCAGTAAGTTATGTCAAAATTCGAGCAAATCTAATGATTTTCAGGGACTTTGGTACACCATTTACCTAAAATCGGGCCAAACTATATATGGGAGCTATATCTGAACCGATTTTCCCGAAATTTAGCACACTTCATTGTCGACTTAATTCACTACGCTATGCCAAAATTCGTGCAAATCTAATGATTTTCAGGGTCTTTGGTGCACCATTTACCTAAAATCGGACGAAAATATATATGGGAGCTATATCTAAATCTGAACTGATTTTTTCCAATTTTCATAGGGTTCGTCCTTGGGCCAAACCAATGGGCTGTGCCAAATTTTATCCAATTCGGATCATAAATGCGACCGGTACTTTGCTCACAAAAATGCATTTTAAAAGAAATGCATATATCGACTCAGAAAGTGATTCTATGCATATTCTCAAAAGGAACCATGGGTCTATCTCGATTATTTTTGCCTGTTACAGACATATGCACAAAGACATAATACCCTGTACCACAGTGTGGTGAAGGGTATAAAAAGCTATGCTCCGGGCGTGCTTTAGAAAATATTCTTTTAAAAATTATCTGCGATCTGTGAAAATATATGCTCGGCATGTCCTTTAAACAAAATATTTTTTAAAAAGCCTATGCTCTACGAAAATATTCTTTTTAAAATATTAAGCTCTGTATATGGGAAATTACAAAATTCTTTTAAAATTCCATTAAAAAATCTTGAAAAATTTTTTTGCGAGCACATTTATGATTTTTGGTACATAGGTTAAGAAAAATATGCTGATTCGAAATCTGTTCGCGTTCACAAATTCGGATGCTGCGCACAAAAGTTATAGCGGTTTTAAATCTTTTATTTCAAATATAAATTAAATGAATTCCTATTCGTTGTAATTCGCGAATTTCTTCACAAATGCTTAAACACCATTGTTTTCTTTGCATACTAGTCAAATCACACTGAAATGCGGTTTAATAGTCGCGAAAAACAAATAGAAACATGAAGATATCGGAAAATAAAATAAATTAATTTTTGAATTAAAACAAATTTTTTTTTTCGAATTTTCGTTTTTTTATAGTATGGTTAAGAGGATACGGGTTTGCCTTAATCTTCTAAAATATACGACGCTTTCTTCTGCAAATTCTTTTAGATGATTGTTAAATATCGGTAGATTCATCTGATAAGAGTTTCGACGTCATTAATGGCTAAATACATTGCACTTACAATACATAAAAATTATCAATATTGAAAAGCTTGCAATTCGCGAATTAGTTGAAATCAGTTTATGCGCATGCGATCAATCATGTCTTTCCATAATTATTAATTTTTCGATGTTTAATTTAGCGGTCAAAGTGTGCCACTCGATGCACTTTACTATGCAAAAACCCTAAAAATGGCTAAAAATCACGCAACGTGCATACGATTTTTATGCGCATCCGATTTTAGTAATCTCCTATGAAAATACGCAAAAGGACACCTATTTTAAAAGGATCGGTTAAGAACCGTGGATGTGCCTCCACAATCAATTTTGGATAAAATACGCATATTTTTCGCGTATCGATGTAGATTTGACCTATTTCCACACAGATTCGCGAATTTGACAATACAAGCATAAATGCATGTAAATTTAATTCGAAGAAAATCGCGATTATTTACACGAATTTATCAAAATAAGTTTTTGCAGTTTTTCCCACATTCAAGGTACCTATACCCGCCGTTTTATTGGACGGAATTCAACATGGATGGGCTCATTAGATCCGGCACGTAAAAAAAACTAAAATCACGCGGGGTTCCACGGAATTTGAATGGACTTTATTAATTTTAGACTCAAAAAATATGTTTTTTATATAAATTCACGCACTAAATGTTCGTCTTTGGAACCCAATTGCAAAGAAGCTACAGTGAGCACATTCATGAGATATACACTAAACGAAGCAGAATCACGAGTTCTACGATCCTATAATTAGTATATTTTATTATCTGGATGCGCATCCTAATTATAAGAATAATTCAAAAAACACCGATAATCCGGCTTCAAAATGTCAGCATCCATTTTGGGTGGATGCAGTGATTATATCGAAAAATCATACATTAGAACCATATTGTCCATGGGGTATTCTGCAACTTAGTCACTGATCACATGTGCGTGCGTTGTGTAGTTTAGTTCATAGTTCATATTTCGCGAGTTATAACCATGCAAACCTCAGCTTCAAGGAATTTAAAAGATTTTTGTAATTTCCCATATACGCTATGAGTACATAGAGTATATTTTTTTCAAAAAATGTATGCTCTACAGACCCTTTAGAAAGTATTCATAAAAAATCTACGTTCTGCACTTCTTTAAAAAACCTACTCTATTTAGAAATAATTTCATTGAGAAATTGAAATCCTTCAAAATGTATTCCTGTAAACCTCAAATCTCTTTTGACTTGAATCCTCAACGATTCCCTAAACATCTACTCACCCATTTCCAAATATTCAGCAAATAATAAACGACTTGTCCATGGTTGCAATGGATAATCCTCATTCCATTGATTATCCGATACAAAATTTTTCACACTCTCCCGCTTTTTATTTTGCACCTCCTTCCATTTCTTTTTCAACAAAGGTAATAAATTCTCCACAATTGCATTCATAAGTTGTTTGCCAACTGTAATAATCACCAATTGAATACATAATTCCATTAGGCAGCCACCAGGATTACACTCCTGCTGCCGGAAGCCAAATATTCGATTATATTTCATGGGATAACCGACAAATTTCCCCTTCAAAAATGCAATATAGAATAACGAGAAATAATAATTGACAAATTGGAAAATATAGATTTTCAGCGTTAGGCTCTCATCATATTCCGTCTGGGTACGACAATATTCACGATTGGTTAGTATTTCGGCCAGATAACTATAGGCATAGTGTAATATTGTTATAATAGTCAAATCAATACAACCTGCGGTAATTGGTTGGGCCATAATTTTGTATGTCGTTGAAGTTTCATCGCCCAGAAAACTATGTGAGGCTTTGAGGGCCATGCGATATATGATCATCGACAAAATTGCAATAATCGAAACGCATACCTGTGAGGGAGGTGGGGAGATAAAAGGAATATTAGAAATGACTATAATTTTTGTATATAAAACTTACCGACAAAACAGCCACACTGTAGCTTGCAAAACATGCCGAAAACTTCACCGACCAAAATGGAATTTCCGCTTCAATTAAATTGTGTCCACTTTTATCTTTTATACGATCGGCTAATTTTCGATTTTTTCGTATCATTTCCAAATACTGTGGCCGGGGATGTTCAACTTCCTGTGTATAGTCGGTAAGACCCCAACGGTGTATTAAATTTGCCGAATATCTTTTCCACAGTTCTAAATAAACAACAGCTGGAAAATGGGAGCATGTTGTAATAAAAAAAAATCGTTTATTGACTTGTAAAGACTATTCTATGCTGGAGGGTAAAATAGGTTTGGCCACTACAGTACGGATGGTATATTGTAGTACCTCTCCGCATATGGTCAACTCTTTAAAAACAGATACCTCATATAAGGCGAAATAAAAGCTGTATATAATTCCGTAGACCTCCAGAAACCAAACCAGCAACGCCGACAGACATTTTTTATACCCTTCAACACACAGTGTTACAGGGTATTATGTCTTTGTGCATATGTTTGTAACATGCAAAAGGCATCGAGATAGATCCATGGTTCCTTTTGAGAATATTCATAGAATAACTTTCTGAGTCGATTTATGCATGTCCGTCCATGTATTTTTGTGAGTAAAGTATAGGTCACATTTATGATCCGATTTGGCACAGTTCACTTATTTAGCCCAAGGACGAACTCTATTGAAATTGGAGAAAATCGATTCAGATTTAGATATAGCTCCCATATATAGTTTGGTCCGATTTTATGTAAATGGTGCACCAAACTCCCAATATTCCTCCGATTGAGGCAAAATTTTGCACAGAATAATGAATTAGGTCTAGATTGATATATGCCGAGTTTAAGGGAACCCCACCCATTCTCGATTTGAATTTTTCAAGATTTTCAATGGGCTGGTAAATCAATACCAATGCTTGTTAAGGTTTGTAACTTTGCACATATATATTTGAAGATTTAAAAGAGAAGAAAAATAATTTACAAAAAAATTTTGTTGTGGTCTTGTTGTTGTTTTTTATAATTAAAGAAAAGTCCTTATTTTTGATGGCGGGCATGATAACTCCTCACTGGAACATCGGAATCCGAATCCAACGGTGTTAGAAAGATTACATGACTGGCCCTCGTATGAACTAGGATTATTGACTTCACTCTAAAATTAACAAAATGGCGGACCTTTGAAAAAATATTTTTTGAAAACCGCCGATTTTTGACCACAAATTAAGTTAAAAAATAAGGAAGATCTTCACCGATTGGCTTTATCCTAGTTCATACGATAGCTATACACTCACAGAGAAACGTGTAAAAATTTGGAATCGATTGGGTTATTAGTTTTCGAGTTATCCTGCCCGCCATTCGCAAAAGAGAAAAACGCGTTTAAAGTTTGAGAAGCCCTTTAGCCGTCACTTGATGCTGACACAATAAATCGGCTATATCTGCAAGAGTTCTTGACATTTTCACTTGAAATTTTGTAGGGACATTCTTGAATGAGTGTAGATTAAAATTAAATCCAAACATTTTTTGACCCCGAGAATGGGGGGGTCCCCTTAATTTAAATCGATTCAAATTTCCATATAGCTCCCATATATAGTTTTGTGCGATTTTATGTAAATTAAGCACCAAAGGGTCAAATTTGGGCCGATTGGCACAACATTTTGCACAGCTTTATGTATGCGAAGTTTTGTTGGAATCGTTTTAGATGAAGATATAGCTCCCATATATAGTGCCGTCCGGTTTAAAGTAAATGGAGCACCAAAATGTCAATATTTGTCCGATTATGACAAAATTTTGCACAGCTTATTGAATTAGGTCCAGCTGAATTTTTCACAAATTTTATATTGGTATGTGTATGTTAAGTTTTCTGAAAATCGGTTCAGATTTAGATATAGCTCCCATATATATTTTCGTCCGATTTAATGTAAATGGTGCACCAAAGTCCCTTAAAATCTTTCGATTAGCACGAAATTTGGCACAGAGTAATGAGTTGGGTCTAAAATGATGAGTGTTAAGTTTCTTGAAAACGGTTCAGATTTAGATATAGCTCCCATAAATATTTTCGTCCGATTTAACGTAAATGTTGTACCAAAGTCCCTTAATATCTTTCGGTTTGCACGAAATTTGGTACAGCGTAATGAATTGCAGAATGACATGTTTATGGATCCCATTTCATTTTACTGGTCCTTTAATGCGACGCCTGTTAGGATTCATCTGTTGAATATGCCCAAAGTGGTGAAGGGTATCTTATAGTCGGCTTTCCTTACTAGTTTTTACTTGTTAGTATGATTACATTTTACTCACCCCAAATCGATATTATAAATGCAAACGCCACTGTCATATTATTATCAATTAAATAATTCGCTTTTGCTGCACCGCATGTATCTTTCAGTTCCCAATAATCACAATTTCGATCACATTGGGGACACATCAACGTTGTTTTATTTGTATTACATATTTCTCGACTATCAAAAATGTATACAAATCAAACAGTAGGTATACACAAAAAAATAAATATTACCTTACCTTATCGGATCTGATCGCCGTGTAATGAAACCATAAATGAACTGCAATATACCAATTATACTAATTGGTATTAACATATGTGTATAAAAACCCAGCCATGCAAAATATATTGCTATTCTAGCACCAAAATATTCTTTAATAGCATCTAATGGTTGTTGACTAGGAAGAGGTTATTGGTAAATGGCAAATAAATCGTATTTTATTTCCGGATATAAGGTAATACGTTTTTCTAATCCGTACTTACTGTATCCACATTTTTATGTTTGCCCAGTCTTTTAACAGCACTTGTCGCTCGACATCCTGTATAATATATATTTAATATGAATTTAAAATGAATTTTTGAAAACGATTTTTGGAGGAGAGTTTTTTTTTTAAACTTACATCATGTAAACTATAAGCACTTTCATAAACTCCATCGGCTAATAGTTTTTCTATACCCAAATTATCTGGTGTCTCTTCACCTTCCACAAATCGTTGACGTTCCAATATAAAATTGATTATGTTTATTCTGGTTCCCGAATCAAAGAAATTTGGAAGTTCACTATCAAATCTGTAAATAGTTGAGAATATATTAATTTATATTCATTGATATGGAAGAGGTTTATCAATGGTCGATACTTACAAACACTCGTATTTCCGCTGAAATTCTGAATAAATGCGATTCTTTTTCAAATTATGCGTGAATTCTTCGTCCGGGTTGTGTTTGTCATTTTCATAAATTCGATTTTGACCCGGAATCTAAATACGATTTAACAAAAATTAGCATGTTTTATATATGAACGTATACAATATTTAAATTTATTTATAGACAAAGACATTTACATAGCTGTCACAACAACATGTTTATAGGTGGATTTAATTTGGTACATATATCTATATAGATCACATATTTAATCCATTCCGATTGCATGTCGATTGTCCTCTAAAGATGCTGTCTGTTCTATCGACAGGTCATTGTACGTATGAACATCCCTTGTATGTACCCAAAGTGGTGAAGGGTCCAAAAGTCGGACGGGGCTATATAGTCCCCCCCCGCCCGACTTTTGGAACCTTCCTTACTGGTTTATATTAAAATAGTTATCTGATTAGTTCCGCGTTTTGGTTTTGGTTCTAAGACTCCGTTGCAATCATTTCACCTGGAGGATATTGAGCCCGCATTTAGGCCTAGCCCTCATATAAAGATACATACCGATTTTCGGTATTTTTAATATTTAGCGTAAAGCAATGTATTTTGATGCAAAAATGTTAGTTTCGAAATAGTGCATAGCACAGTATACAAATGCTCGGTAATTCTTACACGATGTAATCAACATTGGTCCCGCTTAATGTATAGTCTCCTGAGCCTTCAGAATTTTGCAGTATTTTGGGGATATTCCACCCTACCATGCGTCCCTAATATCGGTCCACTTTTTGGTGTTTTTAGAAAATCAATTAAAAAAGTGTCAGTCAGCGTTGCCGACAAATGTATACCCCCACCCTATGGTTTGCGGAGAAGGTCTTCGATGGGTCCCAACTTCGGACTTGATCTAGTCTTCAAAGAGATAATAGGTTGTAGAAAGTTTGGTTCAAAACGGACATTCTATTCGCCTGATATTGGATTTTTAAGTATTAAAATTTTGACTCTTTGTGGGGAAGGTACTAGAATGCGTGTAACAATGGGTTACATCTTTGACCATTTTGTGTGGGAGGTACCAGAAGTAGTGGACCTATATTCCTCATCTTCTAACTTGAACTAAGTTTGGAAGAAATAATGACATGTGCAAAGTTAGGATGAAATCCAACTTTTCTGAAACGGATTTGGGATCTAGAACCAATATTTTGATGAGGCACAATTTCACCGTATCAAAGTGTATACACCCTCATTAACCATAAGGCTAAGGGTACATCCATTACAATTGCTGAAATTTGTATTTGGTGTACATTATGGTTTACAAATTGGTTTGTAGAAATGTCGGTAAATGTCCATTTTTTGGTATGTTTCCTACCAAAGTTCGGCCCGGCGGAACTTAACGCTTTTTCACTTGGCAATACATTGAGAACCCAAAATACCGCATTACACCAATTTCGATTAAAAACGTGCCCAACGGAGGTTGGCTATACACTAAGAATCCAAAATACCAAATTATATATTATATCTCCAAAACACCGAATATTTGATTTGGGCTACAATAACAATAACATGTAAAAACTTGTTATATCCTCCATATATATATATATTTGCATCCATTGACCTATTGAACATTTTTTGGGGATAAGTATTTTCTTCACCAAGAACCTGGAAAGACAAATTACTGCCTTCAAAACCCCGAAATTCCAAATTGAATGCGCCAAAAGCTCTGGAAATGTCGAAAATTGGATGAAGCCTTTATATAGAGAATATGGCGAAACATTGGCCATATAATGATCATTTTCTACGCAGATGTAATCCAGAATCAAATTAGTAAGGAAAGTAGTTAAGTCGGACGGGGCCAACTATATGATACCCTTCACCACTTTGGGTATATTCAACAGATGGAATCCTAACAGACGTCGCATTTTTGAAGGACCATTAACATTAAATTAAACATTTCATTAAGCTGTACTAATTTTTGGTCAGATATAGAGTTGCCCCTTACAATGGGACAAAATTATGTAAATAAATTTTAAGCAAAATATCGAAATCTAAACCGATTTCATCGAAACTTGTCACATGTTAGGTTACACTTATTTCAGTATGTTTTTTGCATTCGGCCATATTTTGAACTCTTCATTTACTTATAAATCCAAATTTCGTGCAAATCGAAGGATATATATGGACTTTGGTGGCCTATTTACATAAAATCGGACTAAAATATATATGGAAGCTATATCTAACTCTGAACCGATTTTCACGAAACTTAACACACATCATTCTAGACCTAATTCAGTACGCTGTGGAAAATTTCGTGCAAATCGAAAGATATTTAGGGACTTTAGTGCACCATTTACCTTAAATTTGACGAAATTTAGATATAGCTCCCATATATAGTTTCGTTCGATTTTATGCAATTGGTGCACCAAAATCCCTATATATCCATCGATTTGCACGAAATTCGGCATAACGTACTGACTTGAACCTAGAATGATGTCTGCCAAGTTTCGATAAAATCGGTCCAGATTTAGATATAGTTCCCATATATAGTTTCCTCCGATTTTATGTAAATGATGCACCAAAGTCCCTATATATCCTTCGATTTGCACTAAATTTTGCACAACGTACTGAATTGAGCCTAGAGTGATGTCTGCCTTGTTTCGCGAAAATCGGTTCTGATTTAGATATAACTCCCATATATAGTTTCCTCCGATTTCATGTAAATGGTGCACCAAAGTCCCTATATATCCATCGATTTGCAGGAAATTTGGCATAACGTACTGAATTGAGCCTAGAGTGATGTCTGCCAAGTTTCGAGTAAATCGGTCCTTATGTAGATATAGCTCCCATATATAGTTTCGTCCGATTTCATGTAAATGGTGCACCAAAGTCCCTATATATCCTTCGATTTGCACGAAATTTGGCATAACGTACTGAATTGAGCCTAGAGTGATGTCTGCCTTGTCTCGTGAAAATCGGCCTAGATTTAGATATAGCTCCCTTTTATTATAGATTGATTTTAAGTAATTGACGCACCAAGGAACCAATGGGAACAAAACGTTCTGAAATTAGTATAACCTAACCTGTGACAAGCTTGTTTGAAATCGCTTAATATTTGGATAAAGCTTCCATATATATTTTCGCCCGATTTCAAGTAAATTGGGCATCAAACTGCTCATGTTAGTCAGATTGACATCAAATTTTGCACAACTTACAAAATTGAGCATAGAATTACGTAGTTGCGTTTTCTAGAAGTACAGATATAGCCCAACGGATGACCTATTTATATTTGTTTGAAGTCGATTTACATACTTTTGTCCCATTGTAAAAAACGAATGACATGTTTATGGATAGATCTAGGTAAATTCACATTTAGATAAATATCACATATTTTATTTCATCCAATTTCATGTTAATAGTCCTGTTTAATATACCTATAGTGGTGAAGGGTATCGTATAGTCGGCCCCGTCCGACTTTACTACTTTCCTTACTGGTTTTTAAATCACTTTTAATGGAATTTCAAATATTTTCTCAAATATCTCTTAAATTGTTAGAATAATTTTATTTTCAAATTGATACATGGAAAGACAACACATGTAGCATGTTATGTGCAAAATTTCAATTTAATCGGATAAAAAATAAAAATTTGGCAATCTAAAAACAAATGGGTATACCACATTTGCATCACTTCCTATAACATTTGACATAAAGTTTTCAGTCTCACTATACTGCAGCGAATGACGTTGAGGTCCGAGAAATATTAGCACTTATACACTTTTGATGGGAATTTTCCCCAAATCTCAAAGCACAGAAAATTAATACCACACACCAATATTAATTCTGTTTGAAGATTTTTTTACGCCACGACATATTAAAATATAATAAATTCCATCTAAAAATTGCCAAAAATCCTTAGAATACCGAAAATTACAAGGTACCGTTATATTGAGCTATGCATACAGTTGTGGCCTTTCAATGCTAAGTTTTTGTTCACAATTATCAATATTACAACAACTACTATCAATAATTATGTATCTACAGGTCATAACTTCAAGGGCATGAATAATATTTCTTTTATTTATGTCATTATGTTCTCATGACCTCAGCATTTCAAGTACTGTGATTCATACATTTGAATAAAAAACAAACACCGCCGTGTACATACCATTTTCATTGGCATTTTAATTTTAAGTATTTCTGCATAGCGATACAGCACCTCTTTGGGGGCATGAATCAGAACGAAATGAACACTTAGTGCCTTATCGCGTTCCAGTTGGAGGCCTTCTTTTGCAAGATTAGTTTCGAATATTTTACGCTTCTTGATATGATCTTCACTTCGATCAGCAGAGTTGTAGGCCAAAACGAAATCAACTTCGCGCACACCATCTTTGAAAGAACGACGTTTCTATATTTCAAATAAATATTTTTTTTTAAATTTTGTTGTTCTCTTAACATTTTTGTTTCTTTTTATCACCGTTTTACAGTTTCCCTGCAAATTTAAAATAAAATTTGAGGCGCTCATATAACTGCTGTCGTTGGAACACATTTGTAAAATAAAACATAAATTAACTTAGTAATCCGCACGACGAACTCGATGTTTCTTAAAATCAAACCACAATACAACTGAGAGCAATGCTGTGATTTAAGTTCACATGATGTTAAGAAATATACAAATGTAATCTAAGAAATGGTATTTAAAATATATATATCGGTTTTTATCACTTCTTAAAATAAACATTTTTAAAAATAATTTAATTATTTATTTAATTTTAATATTAACCATAGACCGCAATTTAATAATAACCATTGACCGCACTTCTTATGAAGAAATTATGAGTGTTGTTACATCTATCATGACTCCTACCTTAGGAAATCATACTAAAATCCTTGTAAAAGCCCTTACCAGGCACCGGTCAGTTTACCCAAAGTGCCTCAAGGAGATATCGTTTTAAGATCCCAAGTATCATTGATACAAATTGGAGATTTGGTCAATTTGTTCATCTGTCTGCTTGACAGGCTGGTGCGCACGATAAAAAGTAACCGATTTGATTCAAACTTTGAAAATAGTAGAGTAAATTCGGGTAATGTGGACTGTTTAAGCAAGAATCGCTGTTAAAAATAGTTAAATAGTTAGCCTTTGATTTGAAAGGCAATAGCCGTTGAAATCTGTTCACTCCTCTTTATTACATCCTTGTAATAGTATGAGACTGACAGATTTCAACGGCCTTTGTTTACATTTTTGAGTTTGCGCCACCTTAAGGCATCTATATGTCAACAAGCATTATTAGTACTTGTTTAACTTTCGTTGTTACCGATCGACTGGCTGCACAAATATTGTTGGAAACACTTAGGCTTTATAGTAAGCCACCGTACATATTGTTGTACCATTCAGGTAATATTGTTTACCAATAAATACTCGGCATTGGTCGAAACCTTTTATTCATAAACATATTGTGTTTTATTTATTTCTTTTATTTTTGCTCACGAGTACGCATTGGGCGTACTGACTCTATTGGGAGACTTTCGATTGCACTGTACCTGCCAACCACCCAAGTCCCTATAGTGCGGACTTAACATTTGGTCAATTCGAACCGGATTTTGGAACCCATAAATACAGTCCACAGCCTTAATATAATATTATTTATTGGTACGTATAGTGCAGTGAGCAAAAACAATAATAATAAAGTGTTTCGTTTGTTTGCGTGGCCGTCATTACAACGCGTCGCGGATTCCCTCCTTTTGTTGACAATCGATCAAAGTCCATTCGCGGACAGTCACACGGGAACATTAGAACCAAAACAAAAAGTAATAATTCTTATATTTGGTTACATTTTGTTTTTCTCTAAATTCGTAGAGAAAATATCGTTTACGTTCTTCAATTTGTTCTTGTAAAATTAGTCGAAGAACTCCTTTTCTATCGCCTTTCATAGCGTTCATATTCTTTTGAATATTTTCTTATTCAAAACTATACAAATATATATTCATATATACGCGTGTTACATACGTACGTTTGCAGCCTATTCGTGGCTGCCTATTTGTGGATTTACACACGTACGTATTGTTACATACTCCAGCATCGTCGCTTTGTTGTTCTGGCTAGTTGGTCAGCCAGTCGCTTGCATGCGAATAAATACACACACGCGTGTAAGCATACATACTGCATTTTCGCTAATTCCCTTTTCTGTTGTGTCCGTTTTATTGCACGGTCTCCGGCCAGTGTATTATTACACAGTCCCCGGCTGGTATATTAGGACAGTGACACATATTATTATATTTTATGGTAAATATAATATTTGTGTCAGGGAATAATACTTAAATATTTTTGGACATTTTAAAATCCAGTGCACCCTACAATCGGTCAATTGGACTTTTGTATAGTGTAGGGTGAATATCTAGCATATTGGTGCTCATATTTTATATTTTTGATTTTAAATATTAATTCTGCATTTCGTTGCAAACTAAAAGCATTTGTTGATTTTTTAATTTTTATTTAATATTGTGAATATTTTGTGCCCTACAATTGGTCGTTTGGACTTTTGTATTGTGTAGGGTGTATATTTTATATATTAGTTTCTTGGTGAACTTGATTACTTTTTTGTTTTTGTTATTTTGATAATTTACGCTACAATCGGTAGTTGACGTATTTGATATAACACAATTCATCTACAATTGATAGTTTATTTTCGTTTTGGATTTGGTACATGTTATTTGGTATTTAAATATCTCATATTTGATTTGTCGTCTTTTTAAGCAATTCTGGCTAAAGTTTACTGAATGTTATATAAATATAATCTGATTCGCAGATTATTTTCAAAATATTAAATTTTTGGACAATTTCGTTCCCTCTGGAATAACTTTTGGATTTTTATTTGAAATTTTTCAAGTTTTTATTCTGTTTGTGTTAATTTTATTTGAATTTAACATTTCTTGTATGTTCCACTGATTTGTCTTGAACTTGTAATTGTTTAATATTTTTGGTTAGATTTAAATAATGGCTTTCACTCCTTTGGACTTATTTATTCGTGCTTCCAACTCTATGGTGAGATTCGCTGCACACTTCGATGCATTGAAGGAAGACGAATTAGATATTTATGATCTTGAGGTTAGGAGTGATGAAATCAAAAAATTGTGGAAATCGGTTGAGGAAAATTTTAATTATTGTCTCTCCCACATAGAAAATCCCGAAGATCTTGATATGCTATATAGTAAATATGAGGTTTCGTTTAAAGAATATATGCGTTGTTCCTCCGTTATAAAAAGAATGTTATCTAAATTAAGGAGTTTGAATAAATTGCCTCTTAACTCTTCTCATAGGAGTTCGGTAGAATCATTAACGGAAAATCCTGACAAAATTTCTTCGGAAAACCTTTCGGTAGATGCCACTGTTAAAAATATGAGCTCGTCGTCCCACACTTCTCTCGAGGTGGGAATACAAACATCTAACTCCGCAATATTAAGTATTGGGAACCCTAGTGTAGACACCGGCTTTATTGTTGATTCTTCTAATGTCGATAACTTTCATAACCTTGCGATTCCTCCTTGCAATATTGATATTTTCAGTGGAAATATACTTCATTGGCCCACTTTCAGAGATTTGTTTAGTGCGGTATATATTAATAACTCCCGATTGACAGATATTGAGCGTTTATGTCATCTGGTGAGTAAAACTAGTGGTGAGGCTCGAGAAATCGTCTCGAAATTTCCTTTGACTCATCGAAGTTTTGAACCTGCGTGGAATGCATTGAATTCCACGTATGATAATCCACGTCTTATTGTCCATAGCCATTTGAAAATGTTGTTTGGCCTTCCTGTGCTGGATCAGGAAAGTAGTTCTGGACTAAAGTCGATACAACGCGGAATTAATAGTTGTCTTTCCGCAATGGCAATCTATGACATACCTACGGATAATTGGGATCCGATCGTGGTATTTATTTGTTTGCAAAAATTGCCCAAATTAACACATGCATTATGGGAGCAAAATGTAAAATCCAAATCGTCTCTTTCATCTTGGAAAGAGTTAGATGCATTCTTGGCAGAGAGAATTCGTACTCTACTGTGTTTGCATGAGATGAGAAATGGTAATACTGTGTCAAACTCAAATAATAGAAAGAGTTCCGTATCTCGTAAATGTATAGCTTCCAATCCTCGTTCGTCCTCTGATTCTTGTTGCGTTCTTTGTTTAGAGCAACACCGATTACACCTTTGCCATCGGTTTGTAGATAGTACACCTGCCGATAGATTTAAATTAGTTAAAAGGCATCGTTTGTGTGTAAATTGTCTTCGTAGGGGACACGAAGTCAAAAATTGTAATAGTCGTTATTGTCGAAAGTGCAATCAGAGACATCACACTCTATTGCACAGAGATAGCTCTATGGTGAGTAGTCCGAGTCAGATGGTGACTCCCACAAATTCCAATTTGTCTTCTTCGGCTCCATCATTTCGACCCCGAAGTTTGAATAATTGTTCGTCCTTCTCCACTGTGATTGATCCATCCACATCGGCAGGCACTGCTATTCGACAAATATTTCACGCGTCGCAGAACAAAGCAGTTCTATTGGGAACAGCCATGGTCAATATTGTTAACCATGGTGCTTGTTTTCCTGCTCGGGCGTTAATAGATCCGGCTTCTGAGTCGTCTTTCATTTCCGAACGACTTCAGAAGAAATTTAAATTGCCGGTTAAACCCACAATTTCGACAATTCGTGGAGTAAATAGTACTGTTGCCACAACTTGTCGAAAAATATGTTCATTTAAACTGGGTAGTTGTCGTAATAGGTCTCACAGTTTGGAAACGTCAGCATTGGTAGTAGATTCCATATCGGGAAATCTTCCATCCATTTCGATTACTTCGGATCTTAAATCGGATTTGTCAAATATAGTTTTGGCAGATCCCGATTTCCTTGAATCTCGTCCAGTAGATATTTTGATAGGAGCAGACTTATATCCACAAATCGTAAAAAATCATAGTTTTCGACTCTCGTCTGGATCGCTGCTCGCTCAAAATACAAAATTCGGCTGGATAATTACTGGTCCTATAACATAAATTCTTTTCGTAAATCGTACGAAATCGTTGAAAGGCGGCCCTCAACAAACATAACACAATTTGGCTCACATATCGCGGGGTCCCTAATGGCCCTTTCGTTTCGCGGGGTCCCTAATGGCTCTTTCGTTCCGCGGGGTCCTTCATGGCTCTATCGTTTCGCGGGGTCCCTAATGGCCCTTTCGTACCACAGGTCCTTTCTGGCCTCATACATCCGCGGGGTCCCTAATGGCCCTTTCGTACAATAGATCCTTCATGATCTATGTAATCGCGGGGTCCCTAATGGCCCTTTCGTTAGCAAGTAAGCTTGTTATTTGAAAAAAGTAAAAAAAAAAAAAAAAAATGATGAAAAAAAATTGGAAAAAATATTTGAAAAAATGTAAAAGGTTTTGCTCACCATGCGCTATGCCGTTTTTTATAATTTATTATATATGTTAAAACATATGGATGTTTCAAGGGAGGCGGCAAATGTTTAAGCAAGAATCGCTGTTAAAAATAGTTAAATAGTTAGCCTTTGATTTGAAAGGCAATAGCCGTTGAAATCTGTTCACTCCTCTTTATTACATCCTTGTAATAGTATGAGACTGACAGATTTCAACGGCCTTTGTTTACATTTTTGAGTTTGCGCCACCTTAAGGCATCTATATGTCAACAAGCATTATTAGTACTTGTTTAACTTTCGTTGTTACCGATCGACTGGCTGCACAAATATTGTTGGAAACACTTAGGCTTTATAGTAAGCCACCGTACATATTGTTGTACCATTCAGGTAATATTGTTTACCAATAAATACTCGGCATTGGTCGAAACCTTTTATTCATAAACATATTGTGTTTTATTTATTTCTTTTATTTTTGCTCACGAGTACGCATTGGGCGTACTGACTCTATTGGGAGACTTTCGATTGCACTGTACCTGCCAACCACCCAAGTCCCTATAGTGCGGACTTAACATTTGGTCCTTCGAGCGTCCACACATCTACATCTAAAAATTCGGGATTTTGGGCGTTTGGACACGCTTTTGAGCGAATTGGCTGTAATTTAATATGTCGCGTTTTCATGGGATGCCAAAAGTTTGCCCTATTGCGGCAGTTGAGACCAAAGTTTTAACATAGACCCTATTTTGTGGGTTTCCGTTGCCCATGACCTTAGTTCTTGACAAGTATATTCAATATATCGTTTTCTATTATTCCTATGTGAAAGCCTGAACCTCCGCCTTTAAGTTCGTTCTGTGATCTGGTAGGCGAAGTCAAACATCGGATCTTCTATTCTCGAATTCCTAGCAAATTGGGAGCCTTCACTGTAACAACTGTTACAATGGGGCATGTCCGCTAGTGTTCCGCTATCCCATGAGTCCTTGTCTAGTATCCTAGTTTCATATGTTGTGACTACTCTTATTATACCCTTCACCATACGGTGGTACAGGGTATTCTGATTTGTGCATATGTTTGTAACAGGTAAAAGGAAACGAGATAGGCACATGGATCTTTTTGAGAATATGCATAGAATCACTTTTTGAGACGATTTATACATGTCCGTTCGTCTGTCCATGTTAAATTATAAACAAATTGTCGCATTTATGATCCGAATTGGATGAAATTTGGCATAGCTCATTTATTTGACCTAAGGATGAACCCTATTGAAATTGGGAAAAGTCGGTTCACATTTAGATATAGCTCCGATATATTTTCGTCCGATTTAATGTAAATGGTGCACAAAAGTCCCTATATATCTTTCGATTTGCACGAAATGTGTACTTGGTACTGAATTAGGTCTAGAATGATGTCCGTTAAGTTGCGTGAAAACCGGATGAGATTTAGATTTATTTTCGTAAAATTTAATATAAAGGGTGCCCAAAGGCCTTATATATCATTCGATTTGCACGAAATTCGGCAATGATGTGTGTTAAGTTTCATGAAAATCGGTTCAGATTTAGATATAGCTTCATTTATATATTTACATCCCATATATATGTTCGTCCGATTTTATGTAAATGGTGCACAAAAGTCCCTATATATATTTCGATTTGCACGAAATTTGGCATAGCATACTGAACTGAGTCTAGATTGATATATGTTAAGTTTCATGAAAATCGGTTCAGGTTTAGATATAGCTCCGATATATATTTTCGTCCGATTTAATGTTAATGGTGCACAAAAGTCCCTATATATCTTTCGATTTGCACGAAATTTGGCATTTGGTACTTGGTACTGAATTAGGTCTAGAATGATGTGCGTTAAGTTTCGTGAAAAACGGATGAGATTTAGATATATTTCCCAAATATATTTTCGTAAAATTTACTGTAAAGGGTGCACAAAAGTCCCTACATATATTTCGATTTGCACGAAATATGGCATAGCGTACTGAACTGAGTCAAGAATGATATATGTTAAGTTTCATGAAAATCGGTTCAGATTTAGATATAGCTTCATTTATATATTTACGTCCGATTTTATGTATATGATGTACCAAAACCCCTAGAAATCTTTCGATTTGCACGAATGTACTGAATTGAGTCTAGAATGATGATCGAGAAAATCGTTTGGGATTCTGATGAAATTTTTGCAGATGCTTACATAGCTTCCATATATATTTCGAACGGGTGTCTGCTTGAGATAAAATTATTAACTGTGATAACTAAATTAATTTACATAAATTTGTCCGAAACGACTCTAATACTGCACGAATGAATTTAAATTTAGCATATGTTGCAGAAAGGCATGTGTATGCTTCATCGAGGAAACATTGAGGATAAATTGTTAGGATACATATGTACAATATACCCAAAGTGGTGAAGGGTATCATATAGTCGGCCCAGTCCGACTTTACTACTTTCCTTTCTTGTTTTAAGTACCCGGTCTGACTCATAACTACTAATCGAGGATCCGATTGTGGTCTGTAAAATATTTTATTGCGGTCTATTGTATCTGGTGTCGATCCACACGTTTGAAGCTTTAAGTCTTAAAACTGCGGGGGTCGCTGCATACCCCATTTGGATGTCAATTGGATGTATATACAATATAGTCTCCAAAGCTCTTGTTGTTGTTTTCATTCTTCATTTCCCCACATATACCTAGGCAGCATGTTCTTTGGACTCTCTGTAACGATTTTAGATTTCATTTTTGTACATAGCCATCAACCAAACTACCGAGGCGTATATTAGAATTGATCTAATAACGCTCTTATAGACCCAGTGTATCCTCTTTGTGTTAAAACCCCATTTAAAGCTTACAGCTCTTCTGCAGAACGACCAGCATCTGTGGCTTTATCTATCGGATCCTGTATGTTGTATTCCATAATTTAAATTCATTTAAATGTTCTCCCTAGGATGACCCCCATATATTTAACTTTGTTTGATATGGTTATCACTTTGTTTCCGTCTTGGCCGGATTTACGTTATGGTTCCGCGGCTTCGTCCAGTTATAGGCGATGTTTAGCACCATTTAAGCCTTCCCATATAACAAGTTTGGATTCTTTCTCCCCAAAAGTATTATAATATCGTCTGCATAACAGACGTTTCAAATCCCTCCTCATAAGGACTATAGGAAACCCACAGCAGGGGTGATAAAATCCCTCCCTGCAGAGTCCTTTGTCCTATTTTCCCTCATATTTATGTCTTGTTGGCTACAGTCAACTCGAAACGTCTTTAAGAATTGGATAAGTGTTTGATAAAGAAAAATATGTGAACTTCAATAAAGCTATAAAGATACATATCGTGTTTTGATTTTCTTCGCTATACCAACTAGAAATGATATTTTGCATTTATATTGATAATGTGCAATCATTTTTTGGGTGGTGAAATATTCCATTTGGGGATGGATGAAAACATTCTAAATCGTACTTTTCCACTTGCCCAAAAAAATCGTATATCTATGTGCCCCAATAAATATCGCATAAGGAGCTGTCGGATTCGTCTGGAATATTAAACATTGCATCCTTTTTTATGGTACAAAAATATTTCTCATTTGTGAGATTTCTCCCTATGGAATACCCAGAATGTAAGTCGTTTTTATACCCTCCACCATAGTATGGAGGGTATATTAATTTTGTTTTTCCGTTTTAACTCATCGAAATAATCATTTCCGATCCTATAAAGTATATATATTCTTGATCAGCTTAAAATTCTAGCGACTAAACGAATTGAGATAGATCGCCACAATTTTGCATAGAGTCTTTTGTCTGCAAGCAGGTCAAGTTCGAAGATGGGCTCTATCGGTTCACGTTTAGGCATAGCTCCCATATAAGGGTACCCCCCAATTTTCGGTAGTTTGGGGTTCTTGAGCGCGTTTTCAACCGAATTCGCTGAAATTTGCTACATTAGGTTTTTATTGGGTACTAAGTTTCCCCACAAAAAATTAGAAATATAGGTCCACTTTTTCTTGTAGCCCCCATATAAGGGTACCTCCTAATTTTTTTTAGTATTTTGGTGATTTTGATCCTATTTTTCCGCCGAATTAGCTGTAATTTAGTATTTTGAGTTCTTAATAAGTACCAAATCCCTCCACAAAAAATTATGAATATAGGTCAATTTTTTCGGATATCCCCAATATAAGGGTACACCCAATTTTCAGTATTTTGGGGTTCTTGAGCTCGTTTTTCAACCAAATTCGCTTCAATTTAGTATTTTGTAGTCGTATATGGTAACAAATCTCCCTACCAAACAATTTTAATATTCGCCCCCTTCTTGGGTCGTTCCCATATAACCCCCTTTTTATACCCTTCGCCACACTGTGGTACTGGGTATTCTGTCTTTGTGTATATGTTTGTGAAAGGCAAAAGCAAACGAGATAAACACATGGTTCCTTTTGAGAATATGCATAGAATCACTTTCTGAGTCGATTTACGCATATGAATGTGAAAGATGTGTGTCAAATTTCCTGAAAATCGGTTCAGATTTAGATATAGCTACCATATACATTTTCGTCCGATTTAATGTAAATGGTGCACCAAAGTCCCTATATATCTTTCGATTTGCACGAAATTTGGCACAGGGTAATGAATTCGGTCTAGAATGGTGTGCAGTGTTGCCAAAACTTGATAGAGAAAAAATCCTAGATTTTGTTGAAAAATGTGCTAAAAAGTGCTAAAAATTTTAGAAAAGTGCCAGAAAAAAGTGCTAAAAATGAATATAAAGAAATTTTATTATAGTTTATAATGAGATCTATATTTCTTAGAAAATTATTTGTACACTTAAATACGAATAAGGAAATATAAATTAACAGCTATGTTGTGAGGGTATTATAAGTAATTTCACAATA